CCGGAGTACAAGACATCGCTGTCAGGTGAGGAAATTTACTTGTGCTCGACGAAGGTGTTGGGCTAATTTTAAAGTACAAAAATGTTAGATATGAATTTTTATTTAGGCCTAATTTTGGGAGCCTTAAGGGTAATTCCATGTCAAATCACCCAGTAAAACTTGGAAATGTCACCCACTATCTCAGATTCTCTTCATTTTCTGTCCAAAGGTTAATCACATAGAGATAAGGAGATTTTGAAAATTTCAGTTCAATATCTTCTCCCGTTAAAAAGTTATAGATCTTTGAAAATTGAATAAAAACCCGCAAAATTTGCTTTTTCCGCCATTATGGATTTCACAACTTTTCAAAGTGCCTCACAGATTCTTCAATAGCTACCTTTCAACAAACATTTTGGTAATAAGATTTTGTACTATAGTTATTTCAGCTATGGAAAATCCAAATTTTTCATTAGTTTTCCCTCAAAATTTACCTGGAAAAAGATATGACACCTTATTTGGAACAATACAAAACAATTGATGACGTCACTAAGTAAAAAGTACCAATTGGTAACTTTTGAATATCTTTTGTCTATTAGGTAGCACCAACTAGATATTCGGCATACATATACAGCATACAATGCTGTTTATTAGAAAAGTGTTTAGATGTTGGTGTCTTGCCTAGAAATAGAGAACCAGATGTTTACTACTTTTGAATTTTCATTAACGCGAAATACCAGAAATATCAAGTTTGTCACATAACTACCATATGATAAGCAAGTAAATCTAGGAAAATTCTTAAATTTCTGTTCTTATCAAACTATTTTTTGTCTAAGTTTCTCTTCAATTAGTCTGATGTCCTCATCTTTTATATTGTACTGTCGTCCAGTAACAGTAACTGGCGGATTCAGTGGTGCAATAATATGACTTGATGGGACATGACATCGGTCTTCTCGTAATGGCCAGTTATATGATCTAGATGGGTATGATGGGTGCATGAATTTAATGTCAAAATCTCCATGTTCCTTGTCAATGTCACAAACAATACCAATCCAGCAATTCTCATCATATCTGCACAACACAAAATCTGAATTTTTTATTTCCTCTTGTTCCTCCTGGATCCTACCAAGTCTGACATCAAAAAGAAGGTCAAAATTAGTATCTGATGAGACTCTTTTCATTCCTATGATGCTTCCTTCTAATGGTTGAAAATGATGGTAAGATCTTGTTCCTGGGATCGTGATGGCACTTCGGAACCTACTTTCGAGAGTATGGCGAACATTCCCCATTTCATGACATGAAATGAAAAATACTTCAATCCCTTGAATCTCTCTTTGACAGTATTCAAAAACATCTTTTGAACTGAGTATTTGATCTTGAAAGGGTCTTTGTAGGCTTGCCCTAGACACAAGCCTTTTGAGGGTGCCTCCTATCCCATCGCAGGGGGATTTTCCATGTGATGTTGCAAAAAAAGACCAGGTACATGAAACATCAAAATCTTCTTTGTGCCGTGAAATGTTCAGAAAGTTTTTGCAGTTTTTGTACTGGGCAGCACATCCATCACTGAAGTATAAAACATGCTCTAGATTGCATACCAGGTTCTTTTTCGTAAATGATATTGTATCCTTTACTACTTTGTAAACAAAGGCTGTGTCATGGCAGCAATCATCTGAGATGAAGCAAACAGATTGCTGAATGGTCTTTCCTCTTGACTTATAATATGCTGCAACAGGATGAAGTGTGCATGACTGTTGATTCCAATGGAATCCTTGCACTTCATCCTGCACAACAAACTTATAGTTTTCTGCAAAGTCAAGGAGTACAATAGCGTCATTATCCCTCAGCTCATCCTTTCTTTGCCTGAGGTAAGCAGCTTGTGCTTTTGCAATGTATGAGTGTCCTGTTAGATCATTTAATTTCTTGACCAGTAAAGAAATGAAGTCGGTGGCTGGTAAGCATTGGCTTATAAGTTGTGACCTGTCTACAGTTGTCCACTGCTGGAACTTGATTTCCAGGTAGCAATCATCACCAAACTCATCAGGATCCTCAAGTATTTCCTTTTGCAAGAACTCTTTTAGTCTGTCTTCAGAAGGACAGTTTTTGCATCTATGAATCATGCATTCTTTGGAATCCAAACTGCAGACCAACATTTCCATCAGTTCATTCCTATTTTTTTTAATTTTGATTGCATTAAGCATCAAGACAACATTCTGGTGAATGGTGCATACACACACAGAGTGACTTCCAGAACATCCAACTGAGATACACCATTTTGGTCGAAGCTGACAAAACTTTGAAAAGCCAACTTTTATGTGAGGGTTGGAAATCTTGAATGATGCATAAATTTCTTTCAAGTCACACAGGAGTAAACGCTTCTGAACATGTACATTTCTTCCTATGCTGACATAATCCTTTTTTCCTGGCATCTGCCTGCTATTCTCATCGTTACAGTAAAAATTCTCAATAAGCTGGGCAGTTTCAGCAGGCAATGTTTTCCCACGTTTTCTTTCTGGAAGTCCAAGAACACCCTTTGCTGAGCATACTGATCTTGCTTTTTTTACCATGTATTCAGAAACATTAAACTCTTTCTGTGTCTTGCTGATTGACCAGGATGGTGGTGCAAGTGTTAAAATCTGAATTTGTTCACTTCTGGTCGAAACTTTCATTTTGTATTTCATAAGTTCCAAAAGTTTGTCAAGATCCTTAGCCTTTTCTTCCTGCTCTTCCAATTCATTCTGATATTTTTGACTTTCTGATAGCTCACTTAAGGGTATGCAAATGGCTTTAGCAATTTGCTCCTTTATTTCTTTGCCATGAGTATCCAGCCTACTTGCAGCTTCGCTAAATTTCCTTTTCCCGTATGAGGGTCTTGAGTGTGCTGGAATGCTGTGTACTTTAATTGGACTTACATCAAGTAAATCCAAACTTCTGTTTAATTTCTCCCTACCATCCAGACGCTCAAAAGACTGAAAGGATACATCCTCAGTGTCATCATTATCGTCATGATAATCATTATCATAACTGTCATTGTTTCTGATCATTGTCGGTTTCCGTCTGCATGTTGGACATAATTTCTTGCCAGGAATTGTTTCGATTCCAACTGCTCTATACTCATTCCATGCTTTCAGAGATATAGGCCTCAATGAGCCTTTTACAGCTTTCTTGTGCGTGTGTAAGGGATCACAACACTTGGTTTGAAGTGTCTTGTATTGCTGTAAGATAGATTGCTCATGATGAAAACATATCAGAAATTGTGAATCAATACTATCCATCATAGTCCTAAGCCTCACTAGCTCCCTCTCTTCTTCACTCATTTCTGTAAGGCTTTTAAACCCATTTTCTCTTGTAAATGTCAGCAAATGACAACCCTCATTTAGAAAATTTCCCACTGAACATTTTGCAAGTTGTTTACTGAAGGCCATGTCAGATTATAGAGCACTATGTTCTTGTTCTTTCAATAAAACAGAATGAATGATAACTGCTTAACTCAAACTTGATGTCGTTTTTCAACCTTGGTGTGATAGTCTAACACAGGATTTGCAAAGAACTTAAAATACCATAAACTTCCCTTTCTATTGTTGTCTCCTTTGTTTCCTGTGATTCTGTATTGATTGTGTCTGACTCACACCATTCACACCTGCCTAACAGGATTGAAAAGCATTGGGAATTATGATGCAACTTGACATCATCACTTTAGACAATTCCTCTGTTTTGTATAGGTGTCCTTTCCTCTTCAGGAAAGACCTATAGAAATTGTCCTTTTATGTATTTATTTGCCTCTCCTTTTCTCTCTGTAGAATTGCTGCTATGATTGATCTTCATTTTTCAATAGGCTTGACAATAGAGTTGTTTCCTGATTGTTTCTTGCTTTGATCATAAACAAACATCAGAATTCTCATTAGTTTGAAAAAGTTAAAGAGGGAAAGACTTTTCCTGATACATACTTCAAATGATTTCTACCCATTACAATAGCTTTGATCTGAGAGTTTTTGTTGGCACATAAGTGTATGTTTGTTTCAAACTGATCATAGTGGAATTAAATTCAGAACTTGTTATTCAAATAGTAAAACAGAAAATTCAGAATTCTCCTAGATTTACTTGCTTATCATATGGTAGTTATGTGACAAACTTGATATTTCTGGTATTTCGCGTTAATGAAAATTCAAAAGTAGTAAACATCTGGTTCTCTATTTCTAGGCAAGACACCAACATCTAAACACTTTTCTAATAAACAGCATTGTATGCTGTATATGTATGCCAAATATCTAGTTGGTGCTACCTAATAGACAAAAGATATTCAAAAGTTACCAATTGTTACTTTTTACTTAGTGACGTCATCAATTGTTTTGTATTGTTCCAAATAAGGTGTCATATCTTTTTCCAGGTAAATTTTGAGGGAAAACTAATGAAAAATTTGGATTTTCCATAGCCGAAATAACTATAGTACAAAATCTTATTACCAAAATGTTTGTTGAAAGGTAGCTATTGAAGAATCTGTGAGGCACTTTGAAAAGTTGCGAAATCCATAACGGCGGAAAAAGCAAATTTTGCGGGTTTTTATTCAATTTTCAAAGATCTATAACTTTTTAACGGGAGAAGATATTGAACTGAAATTTTCAAAATCTCCTTATCTCCATGTGATTAACCTTTGGACAGAAAATGAAGAGAATCTGAGATAGTGGGTGACATTTCCAAGTTTTACTGGGTGATTTGACATGGAATTACCCCACCACCAAACTTCTAGGCGCTTCATTGAGCACCTACAAAAAATATGGCTTAATTAAGTAACTTTCTTGTTAATAATGGTTTGAAAATAGTGGATTATTTGCTCAAAATGTAGAAATTAACTTCTTTCTAAAGTTGTGATTTGTGCTAATTCATTTTTCATGATTATGTAAGAAGAATTAATTTTAAGTAAATTATGTCTAAGATGAAAAGGATGAACAGGGTGAAATGTTCGTGCGAACAGGATAAATGGGCAGCACACATACAGCCTGTATATTTGCCTATATGAAGCTTTTCCATTTAAAGTATATGTTTGCAATTCAGTTAAATAATTTCAAAACAAAAATATTATTATATCAAAAAAAACAAAATTTTAGACAATTAACAAAATTTGGTTTTAGGCATTTGGTTTTAGACAGCAAAAACATGCCAGGTGCTCCATTAATCAAGCTCCTTGAAATTTCAAGGCATTGCGGAGGTGCTTTATAGAGCTGGAGCATCTCTCCTTGTAAGATCTGATTCAAAGGGTTGATCCGAGTCAATCTACTAGATTTGAGTTAAATGTCCAGAGTCATTTTAAAAGGAGAGGGTATAACCAAATATGTAAGTCATGATTTTTGTGCTCCAACACTACTGGTGGACCTGACCTTGATTGCATGAGGTTTTGAGAAGAGGTTTCTTCAACAGAATGCTCTAGAATTTCTTCTGAAATGGGACCATATTTGTCGGATTTTTTTATGATAAAACATGACAGAATAGTTTTTTTTGCCATCGGCTTCTGCCTATACATTGACATTTTTCACTGCATAGAAAGCACAAATGAAGTACAATAGTACTTTTGGCTATTGATCATATATAAGAAAATATTCAGTAAAAGAGACATCTTTTTGTCACCTTGATGTGATCACAAAATTTCCAGGCCATGTGTGCAATTTATATTTCATCATTCACATAAGCATGAAATTATTTCTTTCAATCTCATTTTAGAAGTAGATTTATAAGGTTGAGAATTGGCCCTTGATTTCTAGAAAATTATAATATTTCCAATCCCAGTATCCAGGGCATGGTGATGGCAAACCCAAGATGCAAACATGGTATCATTGAATGTGCACCTAACAACTTCCTTGGCACATTTGAGATCTTGTGAACACTCTGCAAACTGGTCCCTGTGATGCTTGGTGTACAAATACATTCCACACAAAAGTTAATGGTTTATGAATTTACTGCCAGTGTGAATCTTCGGCTGTAGGCGAAAAAGTTAGGAGTGATATCTATGGATCACAATGTAGTAGTGTTTGTGGCTTGGAAATCAAAAGTATTAATTGGTTGGAGGCATAGAATAAACACTAACGTTGTCCATGTTGTTAGTATTATAGAAAAAAATCATTGTCCATATGAGAGTAGCATGCCTGTTGTGATTTACAACCTGTCTAATCAAAACAGCAAATGCGACATTAAATACAATCTCAAAAACTCATCACTTGTTTGATTGCTTCTTCAAGGGGCTAATCGACTTTATTAGCAGAGAGAAAATATAACTCCAAGAACGTGCACAAAAACATATCCGCGAACGTTTTATTTTTCACGTGATTTATTAATTTTGTTAAATCTGTGTCGAGATAAGAATTGTTGTACAAGAAATCTCAACAAAGAAAGCTTAGTTTCGTTTTTGGTAGATTTACTGGATGAGAAGACTATTTTTGCTACATATTTAGAATTATTAATCTGTTACTCCTTGTGTACAAAAGGAGTTCATTTCACCTTAGGATTCATGTAAATTCTGAAATAGTGCAAGCGACTCTGATTGGTCTTACCTTCTACAGCATTTGTGGCTTATGTTTTTGAATTGTCTTTTTCTTGTATTTCACTAACTGGTATATTTATTTATCGTATGTCGTTTTGTTCTTGTTATGATGTTTTAAACCTAAAGAGTGTCTAGTATTCATATAAGCTTAGTTCTAATTTTTGCTTTTTTCTAAATGTCATTTCAAAGTTTGTACTATATATAGAATTGCGTATTATGAGAAAGAGGTTTAGCTCATGTAGGTGTGATGTGGGAAAGGTTTTGACAGGAAAGAAACTTGCAATATAATGTGCAACCTTATTTGCTATATTCTGATTTCTGCTTATTTGCCAA